TTTTGGGGGGTAATTTGGGGGAAAATTGTAAAAAATCGGTTAAACATTGGGGAATATTTGGGGGAAATCAGGCAAAAATTTGAGAGAAAATCAGACAAAAATTGGGGATATTTGGGGAAATTTTGGTGGAAATTTGGGTAAATTTTGGGCAAAAAACGGGTGAATTTTGAGGAAAGTTTGGGGGAAATTTTGGGGAAATTCGGGCAAAAATTGGGGAAAAATTGGGGAAAATTTGAGCAAAAATTCGGGTGAATTTTGGGGCAAAAATTGGGGAAAATTTGAGCAAAAATTCGGGTGAATTTTGGGGCAAAAATTGGGGAAAAATTGGGGAAAATTGGGGAATATTTGGGCAAAAATTGGGGGAAATTTGGGGAAAAATTGGGAAAAAATCGGGCAAAAATTGGGGAATATTTGGGGAAAAATTGGGTGAATTTTGGGGGGAAATTTGGGGAAAAAAGGAACAAAATTGGGTAAACATTGGGGAATATTTGGGGGAAATTTGGGGGAAAATGGGGGAAAAATTGGGGAAAAATTGGGGAAAAATGGGTGAATTTTGGGGGAAAAATCGGAGAAAAATTGGGGGAAATCGGGCAAAAATTGGGGAAAAAATGGGGGAAAATTGGGGAATATTTGAGCAAAAATTGGGGGAAATTTGGGAAAAAATCGAGCAAAAATTGGGGAATATTTGGGGGAAATCAGGCAAAAATTTGAGAGAAAATCAGACAAAAATTTGGGATATTTGGGGAAATTTTGGTGGAAATTTGGGTAAATTTTGGGCAAAAAACGGGTGAATTTTGAGGAAAGTTTGGGGGAAATTTTGGGGAAATTCGGGCAAAAATTGGGGAAAAATTGGGGAAAATTTGAGCAAAAATTCGGGTGAATTTTGGGGCAAAAATTGGGGAAAATTTGGGTGAATTTGAGGAAAATTTGGGTGAAATTTCCGGAATATTTGGATGAAAACCTGGGCAAAAATTTGGGAAAAATTTGGGGATGGTTTTTAGGGTTCCCAGGTTTGTTTTTTGGGGTTCCCGAATTGATTTTTGGGGTTCCCAGGTTGGTTTTTGGGGTTTTTGGGGGCTCCAGTGTTGGTTTTTGGGGTTCCTGGGTTGGTTTTTGGGGTTCCCAGGTTGATTTTTGGGGTTCCTGGGTTGGTTTTTGGGGTTTTTGGGGTTCCTGGGTTGGTTTTTGGGGTTCCCATGTTGGTTTTTGGGGTTCCCAAATTGGTTTTTGGGGTTCCCATGTTGGTTTTTGGGTTCCCAGGTTGATTTTTGGAGTTTTTGGGGGCTCCTGTGTTGGTTTTTGGGGTTCCTGGGTTGGTTTTTGGGGTTCCCATGTTGGTTTTTGGGGTTCCTGGGTTGGTTTTTGGGGTTCCTGGGTTGGTTTTTGGGGTTTTTGGGGGCTCCAGTGTTGGTTTTTGGGGTTTCTGGGTTGGTTTTTGGGGTTCCCAGGTTGGTTTTTGGGGTTCCTGGGTTGGTTTTTGGGGTTCCCATGTTGATTTTTGGGGTTCCCATGTTGGTTTTTAGAGGTTTTTGGGGTTCCTGGGTTGATTTTTGGGGTTCCTGGGTTGACCTTTGGGGTTCCCGGGTTGGTTTTTAGAAGGTTTTGGGGTTCCCAGGTGGATTTTTGGGGTTCCTGGGTTGATTTTTGGGGTTCCCAGGTTGGTTTTTAGAGGTTTTTGGGGTTCTTGGGTTGATTTTTGGGGTTCCTGGGTTGGATTTTAGAAGGTTTTGGGGTTCCCAGGTGGGTTTTTGGTGTTCCTGGGTTGATTTTTGGGGTTCCCATGTTGGTTTTTAGAGGGTTTTGGGGTTCCCAGGTGGATTTTTGGGGTTCCTGGGTTGGTTTTTGGAGGTTTTGGGATTCCCAGGTTGGTTTATTTGGGTTTCCAGGTTGGTTTTTGGGGTTCCCGGGTTGATTTTTGGAGTTTTTTGGGGCTCCCATGTTGGTTTTTGGAGGTTTTTGGGGTTCCTGGGGTTTGGGTTTTGGGGTTGTTTTTTGGGTGTCCTGGGTTGGTTTTTGGGGGTTTTCTGGGTTCCCGGATTGGTTTATGGAGGTTTTTGGGGTTCCCAGGTTGGTTCATAGAGGTTTTTGGGGTTCTTGGGTTGATTTTTGGGGTTCCTGGGTTGATTTTTGGGGTTCCTGGGTTGGATTTTAGAAGGTTTTGGGGTTCCCAGGTGGATTTTTGGGGTTCCTGGGTTGATTTTTGGGGTTCCCATGTTGGTTTTTAGAGGGTTTTGGGGTTCCCAGGTGGATTTTTGGGGTTCCTGGGTTGATTTTTGGGGTTCCCATGTTGGTTTTTAGAGGGTTTTGGGGTTCCCAGGTGGATTTTTGGGGTTCCTGGGTTGGTTTTTGGAGGTTTTGGGATTCCCAGGTTGGTTTATTTGGGTTTCCAGGTTGGTTTTTGGGGTTCCCGGGTTGATTTTTGGAGTTTTTTGGGGCTCCCATGTTGGTTTTTGGAGTTTTTTGGGGTTCCTGGGGTTTGGGTTGGGTTTTGGGGTTGTTTTTTGTGGTTCCTGGGTTGGTTTTTGGGGGTTTTTTTTGGGTTCCCGGATTGGTTTATGGAGGTTTTTGGGGTTCCCAGGTTGATTTTGGGGGTTTTTGGGGCTTTCCAGGTTGGTTTTTGGGGTTTTTTGGGGTTCCTGGGTTGGTTTTGTGGGGTTTTCTGGGGTTTCCAGGTGGTTTTCTTGGGTTTTTGGGGGTTCCCAGGTGGGTTTTTGGGGTTCCTGGGTTGGTTTTTGGGGTTCCCAGGTGGATTTTTGGGGTTCCTGGGTTGGTTTTTGGAGGTTTTGGGATTCCCAGGTTGGTTTATTTGGGTTTCCAGGTTGGTTTTTGGGGTTCCCGGGTTGATTTTTGGAGTTTTTTGGGGCTCCCATGTTGGTTTTTGGAGGTTTTTGGGGTTCCTGGGGTTTGGGTTTTGGGGTTGTTTTTTGGGTGTCCTGGGTTGGTTTTTGGGGGTTTTCTGGGTTCCCGGATTGGTTTATGGAGGTTTTTGGGGTTCCCAGGTTGGTTCATAGAGGTTTTTGGGGTTCTTGGGTTGATTTTTGGGGTTCCTGGGTTGATTTTTGGGGTTCCTGGGTTGGATTTTAGAAGGTTTTGGGGTTCCCAGGTGGGTTTTTGGCGTTCCTGGGTTGATTTTTGGGGTTCCCATGTTGGTTTTTAGAGGGTTTTGGGGTTCCCAGGTGGATTTTTGGGGTTCCTGGGTTGGTTTTTGGAGGTTTTGGGATTCCCAGGTTGGTTTATTTGGGTTCCCAGGTGGGTTTTTGGGGTTCTCAGGTGGATTTTTGGGGTTCCTGGGTTGGTTTTTGGGGTTCCTGGGTTGGTTTTTAGAAGGTTTTGGGGTTCCTGGGCTGGTTTTTGGGGTTCCTGGGTTGGTTTTTAGAGGTTTTTGGGGTTCCCAAATTGATTTTTGGGGTCCCCGAACCCCTTTTTCCCTCCCCCAGGGTCCCTTCGAGGCTCACCGGATGGGGCCGGGGGGCTTCGAGCGCCCCTTCCTCCCCACGGGCCCCCCCCACGGGCTGATGCTGCGCCAGAAATCCATCGGTGGGTGCTGGGCGCCCCTTTTTGGGGTGCAGGGACCCCCCAAAATCCCCCCGCCGCCCTTTGGGGTCCCTGGAGCGATTTTTGGGGTTCCCAGGGTGGTTTTGGGGCGTTTTTTGGGGGTCTTTAGGAGATTTTTTGGGGTTTCCAGGGTGATTTTGGGGCATTTTTTTGGAGTTTTTTGGGGATTCCAGGGGTGTTTTGATCCCCCAAATTCCTGGGATTTTTTTTTTTGGCCAGATTTTCTTGAATTTTGGGGCTTTTGGGGTTTTTTTGGTAATTTTTTGCAGGATTTTTTTTTGGTTTTTAGAGAATTTTTGGTCTTTTTTTGTGGGATTTTTGGGTGGGATTTTTTGGGTGATTTTCTCAGATTTTGGGCTGGTTTTAGGTAAATTCTTGGGGGGTTTTTTTGAGTTTTTTTGGAGTGCATTTGAGGATTTTTTGGGGTCTTTTTAGGGGATTTTTAGGGTTTTTTTAATGAGATTTTTGGGGTAATTTTCTTGGATTTTGGGGTGGTTTTGGGTAATTTTTCGGGTTTTTTTTGGTGTTCATTTGAGGATCTTTTTGGGTTTTTTTCGGGGATTTTTGTGGTTTTTTAATGGGATTTTTTTGGGTGATTTTCTTGGATTTTGGGGTGTTTGGGGGGTAATTTTTTGGGGTTTTTTTGGAGTTTTTTTGGAGTGCATTTGAGGACTTTTTGGGATTTTTTTTAGGGGATTTTTGGGGTTTTTTCCGTGGGATTTTTGAGGTTATTTGAGGTTTTTTAATGTTTTTTTTTTTATTTTTACAACTTTTTAACCGGGGTTTTTTTCAGCAGGGATTTTTCAGGGGTTTCTCCCCCAAATTTTTTTAACCCTTTCCCCTCCCCCTTTTTCTCAGGTGCCCCCAAGGAGGACAAGCCCTACCTGGCCCCCCCCCCCCCAAAAACAGGGCTGGGTTTTGTGCCCCCCACCCCCCATAAATCCCCTTTTTTGGGGGGATTTTTTTGGTTTTTTTAATGAGATTTTTGGGGTGATGTTCTTGGATTTTGGGTAATTTTTGGGTAATTTTTTGGAGTTTTTTTGGAGTGCATTTGAGGACTTTTTGGGGGTTTTTTTAGGGGACTTTTGGGGTTTTTTGGATGAGATTTTTTGGGGTGATTTTCTTGGATTTTGGGGTGTTTGGGGGCAATTTTTTTGAGTTCATTTGAGGACCTTTTGGGGTATTTTTAGGGCATTTTTGGGGGGTTTTTTTTGATGGGATTTTTGCTGTTTTTTGCTGGTTTTTTTTTTTATTTTATTTTATTTTTACGACTTTTTAACCGGGTGGGGTTTTTTTGGTTTTTTTTTTTTTTTTCCCAGGGGTTTCTCCCCCCCAATTTTTTTAACCCTTTCCCCCTCCCCCTTTTTCCCCAGGTGCCCCCGAGGAGGACAAGCCCTACCTGGCCCCCCCCGCGGGGAAATTCAGCCGCAGCCTCTCGGTGCCGGGCTCGGACGAGATCCCCCCTCCCCCCACCACCTCCCCCCCGGAACCCCCTTACACCGCCCCTCCCCCACCCAGCCC